CCTTGATGACATGTTACTACTAAACTTTATATCTTCAGGTCAATATTGGCTCGCTGATCTTCCCATCTAAGCTGTGTCAGACCACAGCTAAGCATGTGTTGCATCATTATCAGACCGCACAGTTTCCCTGCAACGGATCACTTCTACCACGCGACACGAACCAAATCTCACCCCGACGATCAATTCGCATATTGGCGAACTCCGCTGATTCGTAGGGTACCAGGATATACATTAAATCGACCTGGTTCCTGGTACTCTCATGGCTGACCTACTTTAGCCTACTTTGCCGTATGTGCCCCACAGTAGCCCACAAGTCCTCATTTGTTCTCAACAAGTCCATGGACTCCGCGCTTCATCGCGTGCTAGCGTCATATCGGCTCACATCCGGGGTTTCGATATTTCTGGCCCTGCAGATATTCAATATGGCAGTCTAGAGCTTGCCGGATACACCTATAAACATGCCACAGACGAGGGTGTAGTCTAGAACTCTTTGTCTACAAGCTTCTCTGATACCTCGCTGTTGGTGATCGATGGTTCCATGGCAGGCCCATTCAGTAACTAATCATACTTTTACGATGGCTTACCACTATAACCGATTGTCCAGGATATCCAATCGAAGCTTTGTGATTCTCACGACCATCAGTCCACTGCATCTGAATGGTACGCTTCCCTTGATCTCAGTGTTCTACTTGATGCTTATAGTAAAGATCACGCCTGGCCAAGATGACCGTTCCATTTCCATTGAGTAGGCAACGTTTGTCCGTCTACGTTGCCCCTTCTTCTTACTACGTATATACTGTCCATCATAGGGCTTTGCCCCAACGGACAATAAGCAATTGATTTTTTTTTAAAAAAAACCCCCTTCCTGACAAGCACATTTATCAGCCATAAAAAAGTTTGGGACCAGCAAACCGATCACGATTCCTTCATATCGTCGTTCAAGCTCAGCGTTAACGTTCACTAATCACGCTTCTTTTGCCACTGCTTCGAACATTTTGCAATAAACGAGGGAAAGCCAGTAAAACTCAAAGTGCGTGATATCTAGGTTAAGAGAAAATTCCATTGTCTATCAGGTTTGCTTTACCTTTGCCTACCTCCGCCGCGTTGACTGGGCTGGCATGTTCGATGTGTAGTGGCCTGGTGGGAAATAATTATTCCTTCGTAGGGTCGATTACAGACTATCATTTCTCCGAGTTCGACTCATTGGGAGGTAGTAATCATGTTGTATCCAGGGAGGATAAACTAATTTGTCAGGTCGTGTCAAGCTAAAGCTTTTCATGGTTACAATACCTCAGAACGCTAGGCAAACTACAGTGGCACGGACCAGTAATAACTCCATACATAGTACGAGTGAGCACCCGTCACAATCTCGTAGGTACTGCAGAAGTCAGACACCAGCAAACACACGAATCATATACAAAAGAAAGAATCAAGTACTAAGACTTCTCGACCGTGTCCCATGGTTCATCCGACGATAAATCCACATCGGGCAAACTTTTCCGAAGATCCGACACTTCTTTTGCACTGATGCTATATGATTGCAGTAGCTCAATCAATTGATCCAACGAATCCCGGTCTGCGCGTTTCCGCAAGGTCATTTGCCTGTCGTACTCCTGAATCCGATTATGGACTCCTCCGCTCATCGATGAGTCGTGATAGGACTTGACCGCAAGCTTGATGGCTCGACGAGACAATTCCTGGTTTTCCGACAGGAGATACAGCGTCTGCAACACAAGAGTCAAGTCGATGATGTATTCCATGAAGCGCAGGAGCGCCGCGCAGCTGAGAAGAGACCCGTCATTATTTTCTTGATAAAGGATGAGGAGCGGGACGTACGACTGCTGATACACCTCGTGAACCCATTTCACGACCACAACACTTACTGCTATCGGTACTATGATAGGGGCTGCAGGTCCAGCCAGGGTAGACGCGATGCCCGCAATAGTACCCACAATGGAGAGCCCAAATTTACTGTGAATATTGGATGAGATGAAATTCGTTCGTCATATGAAAGCTGCCCTACAGGTTCTGGTTGGCATCAGCAGTAGGTCCAACGTCCAGCTCATTGACCATGTTCGTCATCAATCCCCTGAACTCAGGGCTGCACAAGTACTGCACGTAAGCCACGTCAGAATATGCGACAACTAATAAAGAAGAGAGAGCTATTACACCATTAGGGTCTTGAAAGTTCCACACATTGACAATGTCAGTGTGGAGCACGTGCAGACAGTCCCACATCGAACGGTTCTTGAATGGTATGCTCGATGTGAATGCCTTCCAGTATTCTGAAAGACAGACGGAAGGGCTCAGTTTATGTTCGGTAATTCTAAATACAAAATCGAAACAGACTTCTCTTGCCAACCCTGACGCTGCGTAAATCACAAGATAAGAAGATTGAAGCAAGCGAGGCTCACTCTATTGATGCCTTTATTTTAAGGCCAGGATCCACTCGCTGAGCGACGGACGTCATCACCGACGCGTCGGTCCCAACATGTTTACAAACGAGTTCTTCAGTGGTTCGGATCAAACAGGCTAGCGTCTCCTCGTGGTTTCCATTTGCTGCGCTCAAAGTTTCATTGAGGACGGAAATGACAACCACAGGAGTAAGACCCACTGGAGACCGCAACATGCGGGATATCGGACCCTGCAAAGTTCTCTAGGGGTGCGACGCAGACCTCCTGTAGCTTGTCTTTTGTGTTTTTCTTGGCGAGTTCCTGAATGTCCGCCTTGCTCAGACCCTTGAGAGAAGACTTGTCCAGGGTTCGCTCCACGCGGTCGAGAAGAGTGTCGTATTTAGTGAAGACGGCAACAATGGGAACTTTGACCTGTGTTAGCTGTGACCTGTCGGAGCGGTAGCAATCCATTAACGTACTGTTTCCCAGCTTCCCCTCGCGCTTCGATGTGAGAAATTGCTCCACACCGATCTCAAGTAAACGCCCGCCTGCGCGGGGTATTTCAAAGCAAAGCCTTGCATGTCGTTAGCTTGCCGTACAAACGCATTAAGACGGAGGCCCTACCAAACAGCATGCAACTGATCTTTCAAATAAGGCATTTTTTCTTCGACGGTCAATGAAATCTCGGACTATTTTGAGGTTGTCTTTTTCCCCTGGTTCGAAACCTTTGCTGTCGTGGAGAACAAACTTGTTGTTCTGCGATGAGATGAACTCGTGGTCGATACTGACCTCGCCTGGCTTATCGTGCGAAGCGGTCTATCGATAGTATGAGTAGCTGTGCTTGTTGAAGTGTGGTGCTCAACTCACCGCGTTTTGTACTCCAAATGCGTGGTTGATCAGTGAAGACTTGCCAACACCAGTCTATTAGAGGTACCGTGTCAACACTGGCCTGAGATCAGCGAAAGCCTGATACCTTTCCTATCACCAGAATTCGGAACCTTAGAAGCCCCTGGGCATCAGCTTCAAGAATGTCACTTTCACGGTGATCCAGACTCACTGAGGACACTTCCGGAATATTTCGTCGGTAGTAGGCTGGAGCTCCAGGGTTTCGTCGGAAGAAGAGACAAGTTGCTCGGCCTGCTAATCTATGACTTAGATTTTTTCCAATACGAGACATGGAACCTTACTTCGGTTGTTGGATTCCTGGAAAGTTCGACAACGATAGTGACGTTTTTATGAACCTTGTTGTATTCTGTGCATGTGAGGTTGAATTGGTGAGCGATCATGGCCAGGGCGCCGTGACTATTGTTTCACCTTGTCTTTCTCTTGCACCACATACACGGAACATGTCTTCCGGGTCGAAAACAATGTCTTCATGCTCGGTTCCATACCATCTCTTGTATCGTATGTGTAAGGAAAACGTATCCCCAGGAGAAAGTTTCCTATAATTAAACACGATAACAACTCAGGCGGGTACAGTCGTCAGAGTCAAGTCCTTACATGGGTGGAGAAAATGTCTGTCGCAAAGCCTTTCCTGCCCCGCTTTTGATTGGCGTGGGCGACTTCCGCAATTCAAAGACTCCACATTCTTTTTCGAGTTACTGAAGTCGACGATGACACCTATTGGATATATTTAGTGTGATTTATGATTTCGTCGATAAAGTAACTTGTACCAGAAATGTAGAGGGGGCAAACCGGCGTTGAAGCGTCAAGGGAACTAGCCATTCTGAATCCTGATTCGAGTTGGGGAAGACTGTCCTTGGTCACGGTAGATTTATCTAGAGGCCGAGTGTGGGTCATGCATCAGCCTTGCTGAAGGGAGGTGTCCTCGTGTAGCACCCAGACCAGCTATTCACGCACACGCCCAGCTCGTTATGAAATGGAAAACATGTGGGTCAAACGGTGTGCCTGTGTCGGGCTTGGGATTGGTCGAGGGTGTACCAAAATATAGCAACCATACTGTGACTGATTCGAATTGAATGGTGAGAGAAGGAAGCATACAAAGCCACCGTGCTTCTTTAGCCGGACCAGCTGTAACTTCAAGTTAGCACCCTTTAGGCACGGACCCTGTGACCTGAGATCAAGATGGATCGATAGCTATCAGGTGCTTAGACGCCAAGCCTAACTCCTCGTGTACGGCTCACATCCATAGCATTCACTGAGTTGACGCAAACTAATTTTAAATTGAACATAAACGGAAACCCAATTTGCCTTTGTAGAAATTCCGCCACCTTCGATTCGATGCAAGGACTCGTCGTGTACGCCTCATGGTAACATTGCCCACTGACTCGGAATCTAGACAGGCTTCGGGTCAGGTATTGGCAAACTGCAGTGATCGATTATAAGGCTACACCAACGCTTCTCCATCACATCTACCTTCACCAGACTTTGAGCTAAAATATTCCCCGGCGAGAATGAGTGAGAATTTGGAAATCCGACGTAATTCATGTTGGCGAAAATTTGTAGCGATATCGATCGATAATCCACTGTTGGTTACTCGTTTCGGACTTAACTGCGCAGCAATCAACGTTGTGAACGCATGTACATGTATAGCCGTCGTCGCCCACTGACTCAGCTTCCACATCCTCCTACCGGGTCTCCAGACTCATGCCCAAGTTGTCGTATAAGTGGTGCTCCTGTGAGAGCTACAGATGTAGGGATAATCCTGACGCAAGTGGTCAGAAACTACAGACCGTTCAGACAGCTGCAAGACACCATGCTGCTGATCAGCAGCTCCGCGATGCTCGTACCATTGAACCAGTCGCTTCTGGGCCTCACTCACCTGCACATGAGCCTTTTGGAGCCAACGAACCATTCGCGCATGGTGATGATGATGGGGAAGGGATCTTCGACCCTCCTGAGCCGCTAGACAACCTCTTCGAGATGTGGAATGAACCCCCAGATGTTCGAGGCCCAAATGACTTCAGCACTGACGAAGATGAAGAAATTTTTCAGCGACTTGGACGAGCCAACACACCAGAGGATGACACGGAAGATCCTGCAGTTCCCGATGATGATCCTGACATTGATGTCGAGGATGATGAGGCTGCTGCTGCTATTGATCTCTTTGTATCGCAGGGCACCCAGTTTGATTTCTCGGATGTCCTAGAAGGAGCGGATATTCACGCTGACCCTCCGTCATGCATGGACGACCATCCGGCAGTCCGCCACGCATACATACATGCATTTATATCTGCAGCATTCTATAATGCTACCCACGCAGCAGTGTATCACGATCTTGAAGGAAAGGAGCGCCTTCTGCGCACTGCTCAACAGGCCAACCCTGATATTGAGTATCCAGGGCTCGATAACTTTGCCCGCACACTCCCCACCCTCCTCAGACGACTTGGTCTATCGACAGATCAATTTATTGTTTATTTTTTTCGTTTGCAATGTCTGTTGGAAGCTACACCATCCATCAGAGCTTCCTGAGCTACATTCTCCTGATTGCACTAATCCTGATTGTGACGGATTGTTGTACACCTCGAAACGACTGGCTGACGGCACCCTCAAACGAACTCCAACAAAAATCGTCCCATATGTACCTCCTGAACGGGCTCTACAGCGATTTCTTCTACGACCAGGCAAATGGGACCAATTCCAGCACTGGCGCGGCCCTGAAGACCAGCCAGGTCATGTCCCGCCTATTCCTGGTCATGGATACAATTCATTTCCCGACCCGTCTAAGCCAATGACTCGGGTGCTCGACAGCATGTGAAAGGGATTGGTGCTGGTCAGACGTGTAGACAAGGCATCAAATGGACTCTTGATGATCGCAGCACTCGCTAATTTGGATGGGATCGTTTGATTTGTAGCAGGAGGAGGCATTCTCGTGGTGTCAGGGTCATAGCCTTGATTTGGTGATGGCACGTCAAGCTCGCGTGTTGCCTCAAGTGCAGGATCGATGGGTACGTCTGCAGGTCCAGCTGAAGGATTGTTTCGTTCTGACAGCTTTGCCTCTATCCATCAGGACGCATATATGCGTCATAACGTTGGCTTTGTGGCAACATTGCATCGAACGACTGCGGTGGATGAGGTGGAATGGACTCCAGAGGAACTAGGTGAGCTACTGGTGCCATATTATGAACAACCGGAGGTGCTGACGTGGAACCGAGTGCTGGGAACGGGTTTTTGAACCCACCTGTGGTCCGTGGCTGAACCAGAGTCTTCCTACCACGTTTGGAGGTTATGGACACATCCCCTCCGTCATTCAGCTTCCTCTTGGCCACAGCCTTGCCCCCAGCCTCCTGACCGCCTTCTGGACTCGTTTCCTGGCCCAGTTCCACGCTGTGTGAGGCAACCTGAGGCTTCCGAGGAGGCATAGTAGTATTGGAGATGGTTGTTTTGATGTCCCAAGGGTCGAACTACGCGTCAAAGCGGCTTCAGTGGGCTTGTCTGAAAGCTCAGGAGCTGGCTCAGCAGTACAGGCTTGCCATGGAGGGCTCTGATCGTTGCAGGAGGAAGGAGACGCGCAATTGCAGGGGAATATGCTGTATTAGGCTACATACGGACTACTTTTTGACAGGTGAATAATTAGGGAGAATCACAACTTTTTTGCTGTCGAAAAACGTCAGATAAGGGCTCATTCCGACGATTTTCAGCTTGTCGGAATATTGGTAACTATTTGCCTGATTATCGTTGGATATTTGTTCTTTCCGACGATAACCCACCGTCGGAAAATTTGTGTCAAAGTCTGGTGCTTCCCCCATGGATCCTTCAGAGATCAGAAAGAAAATCGGTCGCTTTCGAATCCTCGTTATAGGAAGAGCGAATGCAGGAAAAACTACAATCCTCCAGAGAGTTTGCAACACACGGGACAGCCCAGTTATCTATAACGGCGCTGGAAAAAAGGTGCGTCTCATGATGTTAGTAAGAGGCTGGTAGTGGTTACTGACTTATCGACATCAGATCGATGCTGCTGTTTTTAACGGCATCCAGAGAGGTAATGTTTGCGCTTAGTTGGTAGCATGAACTGACGCGTTCTCAGCGTGGGGAGCACGATATCGAAAATGAAATGGTGTTTCAAAGCAACCCAGGATTCGTCTTTCACGATTCACGCGGCTTTGAAGCAGGCGGCGAATCCGAATTCGACAAGGTTAAGGCATTTATCGCAGGCCGTTCCAAGGAAACCAAATTAAAAGATCAACTCCATGTCATCTGGTAATTGCAACTAATCAATCACGACATGCGCTATCTTAAAGTTTCAATATAGGTACTGTATCCCGATGGACGAGGCAAGCAGATCATTCACAGAAGGCGAAAACAAATTTTTCTCTCAGTGTGACACTGGAAGCAGTAAGCTTTCGCACCCGACCATCGTTGATGTTCGACTGATGCACAGATTCACAATCCTCAGTTCCCGTGATGATCTTGTTCACAAAGTTTGATGCCCTCTACGACGTGGCATATGCAGAACTGAAATCGAAGGGAGCATCGATGGAGGAGGCTGAAGAACAGGCGCCGAAGCATGCCAAGGAGTCGTTTGCTAACGGTCCACAACTGAAGTTTTTCAACAATGTCCGATGGCCTCCAAAATGTTATGTATGCCTTCCTGGTAAGCCGGTTTATGGTTGAGTTGCTGTACCTGATGACCGTTGATCCATTAGACATGGACAAAGATGATGCAGATTGCGGATCACTCATCGAACGCACGGCTGGAATTCTGGATAGTGAGGTACTACAGCAATTATTCGTCTCGACCCAGCAGACCAACTTGGAACTCTGTATGAAATATGCAGTTGAGAGGTAACTACCCATGGCTTCATTTACCTGCCGCAAGCGTTCGCGACTGATATTTTCCAGAACACTCCCAGGACTTTTTGACTCTGCTAAGAAAACGGGTCGTGAGGAGATAATAGGAAAATTAGGCGTCTGGTTTCCACATCTCTTGGTAAGATTATCAGAAAGTTTGAAGGTTGCTCTCATTTACATTGGGTGTTTACTTGCAGGTAGTACGTCTGTTAATCCTCTTTCGAGCTCGAGCCATGCTGATCCAAGTCATTGCCCACTGTTCGCAGAGAGTGAGTGTCTTGATCCTCCTTCGAGCTCGAGCCACGCTGATCCAAGTCATTGCCCACTGTTCGCAGGAAGTGAGTGTCTTGATCCTCCTTCGAGCTCGAGCCATGCTGATCCAAGTCATTGCCCACTGTTCGCAGCTCGTGGGTGTCTTGATCCTCCTTCGAGCTCGAGCCATGCTGATCCAAGTCATTGCCCACTGTTCGCAGTTCGTGAGTGTCTTGATCCTCCTTCGAGCTCGAGCCATGCTGATCCAAGTCATTGCCCACTGTTCGCAGGAAGTGAGTGTCTTGATCCTCCTTCGAGCTCGAGCCATGCTGATCCAAGTCATTGCCCACTGTTCGCAGTGGGTGAGTGTCTTGATCCTCCTTCGAGCTCGAGCCATGCTGATCCAAGTCATTGCCCACTGTTCGCAGGAAGTGAGTGTCTTGATCCTCCTTCGAGCTCGAGCCATGCTGATCCAAGTCATTGCCCACTGTTCGCAGGATGTGAGTGTCTTGATCCTCCTTCGAGCTCGAGCCATGCTGATCCAAGTCATTGCCCACTGTTCGCAGTGGGTGAGTGTCTTGATCCTCCTTCGAGCTCGAGCCATGCTGATCCAAGTCATTGCCCACTGTTCGCAGGAAGTGAGTGTCTTGATCCTCCTTCGAGCTCGAGCCATGCTGATCCAAGTCATTGCCCACTGTTCGCAGAGAGTGAGTGTCTTGATCCTCCTTCGAGCTCGAGCCATGCTGATCCAAGTCATTGCCCACTGTTCGCAGGTCGTGAGTGTCTTGATCCTCCTTCGAGCTCGAGCCATGCTGATCCAAGTCATTGCCCACTGTTCGCAGGATGTGAGTGTCTTGATCCTCCTTCGAGCTCGAGCCATGCTGATCCAAGTCATTGCCCACTGTTCGCAGAGAGTGAGTGTCTTGATCCTCCTTCGAGCTCGAGCCATGCTGATCCAAGTCATTGCCCACTGTTCGCAGAAAGTGAGTGTCTTGATCCTCCTTCGAGCTCGAGCCATGCTGATCCAAGTCATTGCTCACTGTTCGCAGAGAGTGAGTGTCTTGATCTTCTATCAAGTTCGGGCATTCCTGATCAAAGCATTTGATAATATCTTCAGGAGGTCAGTACATTGATCCTCTACCGACCTTGAGCCACTAACCGACGACATCGTTGATCCATTGACAGCTTGTGAGTGCAATCATCCATTGTCGACCTCCTGCCTTGCTCACCGATGCAATCATTGATCCATTGTCAGGGTGTGGGTGTACTCATTCTCTGTCACCCTCGCGCAATGCTGACCAAAAATGTTGCTGCTCCGTTAACAGATTGTGAGTTGGTCGATCCATCATTGTGCTCGAGCCATTCTGACTGAAGACATCGCCCATCCGTTCACAGGGTGTAAGCACATCGATCCTCAGTCGAATTGGAGCATCACTGACCAATGAAATTACCGATCCCCATTGACAGCCCGTGAGTGTGTTCATCTGCCGTTGAGTGCGGGCGTTGCTGATCGATGACATCGTTGATCCATTGACAGGGCGTGAGTCTCTTCACCCCCAATCGAGCTTCAGCACTGACAATACTCATGCACTGACAGAATGTCAGTGTGCTGATCTTCCGTCGAGTTCGAACTTTGCTTACGACTGAAATCGCACATCCCTTAACAGAATGTGAGTGTTTTAATCTTCCAGTGTTACTCACCGACGACATTGCTCATCCATCAATAGGAAGTTAGTTTCTTCGTCCATCCTTGATTTCGGGCCATGCTGACCGAAGATTTTACACATTGGCAGATTGTGGGTGTATCGATCCTCAGCAGAGGTGGACGATATTCAACTTTCTACCATGATTTGACCAGTTGCGTGAGAATCATCGTGAAGAGATGGGGTCTAGGTTACTCTCTGTGGTATGTCCAATTGGTCACTGATTGTACACACATTTCTGATGTTGCGAATGTGCCAGGCCTCTGGCTCATCACCCTTGGAGGATAATGTTCAGCTCATTTCTGGTGATTTTCGAAGCTACGTTGCAATGAACCTGCTTATTATTGATCATTTAGCTGTTGTCATTATCTTCGAACATTCTTTCTACGTTTTCGACAAGAGACGCTATCTTCAGGACAAGCAGGAGTCTGTTCCCTCTTTTTATGTCGCTCTGGAGCAGTACATCGCGTCTCCGCATGCAGCTGTTGTCAGGGAAGGTGTGAGCGCTGCCGTCCAGGCATATGAAGCACCTATGACAACTGCCGCCCACGCATATGAAGATGGTATGACTACTGCTTCCCGCGCATATGCAGACGCTATGACTACTGCTGCCCACGCATATAAAGAAGATGTGAGGACCTTGCCTGCTTGGAGGGCGAAGTTACCGTTTGAACGCTTCAAGAAGAAGGCAAAAGAAGCTTCTGAACGCTCTAAGGAGAAGGCAAAAGAAGCTTTCGAACGTTCTAAGGAAAAGGAGAAAGAAGCTTTTGAACGCGCTCAGAAGAAGCAAGAAACTTTTGAACGCTCTCAGGGGAAGGAGAAAAAGGCTTTGTGCTCACAGGCGAAGGCGGAGTTAATCAAGACTATTCTTGAAATCACCTTAAATCATCGCCTGGGTATGTTTCACTGCCATGTTGTGACAGCAATCCCACTGACCCGCTTGCCTTCAGGGAGACCTTAATGTTGGGCAATGCAACCCAACATCAATGATGTTCTGGTCCGGAGGGAAGCTGAGGTGTCTCGGCTGCGAATGCAAGTTGCTTGAAACATCTGTCGTGATAGATTCAGGTTGTGGAACTGTACGAAATGGTTGTATGATCGTGCAATATGGTGCTTAGTCTGGTATGGCGTATACATATTTGGAGAATGTCGGTCACCCTAGTGGCGAGAGTTACGGCGCTTGATGTACCTCTCAAGTATCCGTGATCCTATTTCAAGCGCATCAAGGCTGGGTATGTTCTGCTTTCTGCTCCATAGCTTGTCTCAACTTGCATAACTTTTTCTAAACCGAAATCCCGAACGTTTATTGGCATTCTAACCTTACACTATGAAGACACATGGAATTGAACGTTCCTGACAACGTCAGTGACACCAGCTGGTGGTTGATATATAAGATCTCTGAAAAGACCTGGCTGTAAGCGGACGATAGCCTTCAAACTCAATGGACCTCGAACAGCGGACACCTTGAAAATCTCTAGCTAGCTTTCTTTAAGGGATAGCGTGCAATATGCATGTGGTCATAGCTCCGGGTTATGAAGTTTTGTAAGATGGATGTATTGTTTGTTATACATTCAGCGTTGGTTACTGCTCTACATGCCACGGTCAAAATCCAAAAT